TGTATGTCTATACATTCATTGACATTGTTCTTTTAAAAACAATTAGAAGGCATTGTATTTGGATGTACAGTGGATGGTAAGATTTTTCAAAATACATCAAACATTATCAGAAGAGAGGAAGGAAGGGAAGGGAGAAAAGGAGAAAAGATGGTGAGAACAGGAGAAGGGTGGGGACACAGCCCAGGTCTAAGCACGCGAGAGCAGTGTGGTATCTAGCTGGGTGTAGCAGACTCAGGACACAGGGGTTTAGCCAGGCATGGGTTGCACATGGCTGTAATTCCAGCACTCAGGAGGCTGAAGCAAGAGGATTGATATGAATTTGAGACCAGCCTGGGCTACAAAGTGAGCTCTAGGCCAGGCTGAATTGTGTGGTAAGACCCTGTTCCAAAAAGATCAAAACAACAACAACAACAAAAAAAGAGGATACAAGAGTCAGCTCAGGACTGGGAATATGGGGTGGATGCAGGGACTTCACAGGGGTTATCTATGAAAGAAGAGAATGAAAGGCAGGTGAGATAACTCAGCAGACTAAGTGTCTCCTTAGGTAAGTACAAGAACTGGGGTTCAATCCCTGGCACCACATGCCGCACCGAAGTTAGAACACAGAAAGGCAGTATGGTGTGAGGCGGCAAAGAGGGAAGAAATAAGAAAAAAGGAGCAGGTCAGAAAGTGTGTTCCTTGACAGTGAAGGGCAGCTCTGACTTCTAGCTAACAGAGGTGCTTTCTTAGGATGTGTATCAGGGTAACTCTCAGTCCTCTATCGTACCAGGCTACCCAACATCCATATACTGCCAGTTACATTTTATTTAAGCACTACAAAACTTAATGCCCTTTTGTTGTGTCATAGAACAATTATAGCACTATTAGAGAAGACCACTTAATAACATAGCCAACAGCAATAAAAACTTATCATGTTCCATGGCTATACTCATCATTTTGTATGTATTCAGTCTTCATAATATGACTGGTATACCTATTGAAGAGGTAAGAATAGTGGTGCTCAAATAAGCAAATGGTTTAAGATCTAAAAGACAGTAAATAGATAAAGTAGGATTTGAACCTGACTTACCTGAGTCAAAAAAATATATGTACTTGTACCCAGGAGGGTGAAGGAGGAGGAGCTCTGTGAGTTCAAGGCCTGCCTGGGAACAAAGTCACTTCAAAGCCAGCCTGAACTCTGTGAGGAAACCCTGCCTCAAAAAGACAAAAAAAAAGAAAAGAAAATGGCCAGACTCCCAAAATTGTTACACAGATCCAATGCAATTCCAATTAAAATAACATTAGTATACCGCACAGAGCTGAAAAAAAACTATTCCTAAAATTTATCTGGAACCGGAAGAGACCTACAATAGAAAAAGTGATCCTGGACAACAAAGGAAAGGTAGGAGGCATTACAATCCCTGACTTGAAATTATACTACAAAGCTAGTGTGATAAAATCAACATGGTACTGGTAAAAATAACAGACCTGAGGATCAATGGAACAGATTAGAAGATAGGCAGACACAACTACAAATACTCTCAGCCACCTTATCTTTGACAAAGGGGCCAAATATGTTCACTGGAAGAAAGATAGCCTCTTTAATAAATGGTGATGGGAAAACTGGCTTTACACGCATAGAAGGCTAAAACTAGACATATGCTTATCACTATACACTAAACTATAGTAAAAATGGATCAAAGATTTAAATATCAAAACTGAAAAACTAAATCTTCTGGAGGCAAATATAGGTAGTAATCTTGAACACATAGGGGTAGGCAGAAAATTCATGAAAAAAAATTAAACTGCATGGGAAATAATTCAAAGAATCAACAACTGGAATCTCATCTTTTTGAAAAGATTTTTGCAAGTCAAAAGAAATCACCAACAGAGTAAAAAGAAAACCCATGAATTGGAAAAAAAAAAAAATAAGAGTGAGCTATCCTTCAGACAAAGGACTCCTCTCTAGATAATATAAAGAATTTTTTTTTTAAATCAGCCCTCCAAAATTCAAAGACCCAATCCAAAAATGGGCATCTGAGATGAATATATACTTCACAAATGAAGAGATACACATGGCAAATAAATATATGAAAAAATGTTCAACATCATTGGTCATTCAAGAGATATAAATAAAACAACACTGAGATACCATGTTATGCCAGAAAGAATGGCTATCATCAAGAAGTCAACCAATAACAAATGCTGGAGAGGCTCTGGGGAAAAAGGAACCCTTCTCCACTGCTGTTCAGAGTGCAGGCTGGTACAAGCATTATAGAAATCAGTATGGCAATTCCTCAAAAAACTAGGATTGGAGGTCGGTCCCATTCAGGCCAGCTATTCCCCTCCTAGGTATTTTTCCAAAAGAACTGAAATCATCATACCACAGCAATACATGTGTACCCATGTTTATAGCAGTGCAATTTGTCATAGCTAAATCTTGGAAGCAGCCCAAATGCCTAACAACTGGGGAATGGATAAAAAAGATGTGGTATTTTTACATAATGGACTATTCCTCAGCTATTTAAAAAGATATATTTGAAGCTTTTGTAGATAAATGGATGCAACTAGAGACTGTATTGGTAAGTGAAATAAATCAGACCCACATGTGCAAACATTGTATTGTCTCACTGCTATGAGAACCCGAAAGAGTAAATAGAATCTGAAAGGTACAATGGATACTATTCAAGAGAGAGAATTTGTTCCACAGGAAGGAAAAACTGGGATGAGGAAAAGGACAAAAGAAAGAAGAGCAGTATATATTTATGTATGTATGCAGGGTAATGTGAATAGTTCTACTGTCGATTTCTGCTAGTCTACTGAAAGGAGCAGTTAAAGCTGAAATTTTTTTCCTTTCATTCTTTATTTTTTCTTTTTAATTTCCTATAACTTTTTTGTTGTTTGTTTTGTTTTGTTTTTAATCCAATTTTGCACGTTGATATCTGGTAACCTAA